ATATATCAGTCACTTCAACTCAAAGAAGTCCAGACGCTTTTCTTTCCAAGCTCCTTTGACTGACTGTTAGGACAACTTATTTATTGCAAGCATGCAGTACAAGAATAACTCGATGTTTCTGACTTTGCATTACGAATTGTTTACCCACTGACAAACATTTCAAATGAAATTAAATTCAAAAACAATTTGTGGTAACCTGATTTTAATTCAAAAAGAATCATTAACAACACTTCTTGTAATGGTGTCAAAATCAGCCCAACTTTTATTTTCAAATGCAAAAAGTAAAAGAAAATGAGCCAACATACTGGACACATATAATTGTCAATATAATTGTTTATAAACAATTATACTGTCATCATTGTTACAGATATGGAAACTTTATTAACAATTTGTCCAAGTAAAAAAATGCCCTGCTAATTGTTGGGGTTTTCTCTCCTCTAGCCCTTTCCTTTAAGCTCTTCTTTACATCCCCCACCCCACCTTTTCTTTTTTCTTAATAATATAACAATAAAAACAATTGGCTGCATTTTAAATGTGTCAGATCAATGTCTTTATTCAAGAATACAAGAAATGGTAATAGCTGCATGTGTGTTTGTGTGTGTGCATAATATGCATACTTTACTTGTTGGATCCAAATCCCACAAGGAATCAAATAAAACAAGAAGACAAACAAAAACAAAACAAAAATATATTTCTCTCCCTTCCCAGGTCAGGTTCACAAAAGCATTGCAGCTCTTTATTCCTCTTGTACAGCTCCAGAGTCTGTCAGCCAAAAAGAAACTACTGAGGTTCCAACACCCAGTGTTTCTGTAAACACAGATGAAAATGAACAGTCATCCACATCTAAAAGATTTGTAGATTCGAGGGACCGGTATAATACATCTAGTACATCTTTGTTTAAACCTCAGAACACAAAAAGGGAACAAACCATTGTATACAGATTTAAAAGTGCGCAAAGCAACGAACAGTCACCCTCTGAAACAGCTGAGGTTATCACAACCATTGTTTCTGTAAATACACAGGAACAGTCACCCACCTCAAAAAGATTAGTATATTCAAGGGACCAGTGTATCTACTCTGGTCAAAAGAATCCATGCTTCGTACTGATGTCCACAATTCTTTTTTATTCCTTTCACAATCATGGAGCACCGTGAAAACTAGAAACGAGTAAAATAATATCAATAGCACATATGACATCCATCTCAGCCACTTATTTCTTTTCACAAGGTGCACAAGTGCTTAACAAATAACAGCATAATGTTTTTACCTTGTACGCCTTGTAAAACCAGTAGTAGAAAAGTTGTAGGTTCGTGCTCTTGTGGGGGAGACGTATGTTATCCACCACCTCGATAGCTAGCCGAGAGTTCGAGGGTCACTAGAGCCGCCGAGAACGCATGAACTACTTACGGTAGGACGTTTTGCCAAAGTAAGACGTTTTGTCAGAACACCGAGTCCTCAGGAGGATGCAGCCCATGAATTTGGACACGATCTCAGATGCACTTCTGGTGTTGTCATGGCAACCCACACAAACATTTCAGCGTCAGCTACAATGAGGCGGAGCCCTTACTGGGACACTGAGCTCAGGTAGAGTGAAAGACAACATTTTTCTGCATCCAAAACAGCAGCGCTGTTCCTGTGACCTCTAGTAAAGCCTCTACTTGGGAAAAGGGAGTCTTTCATCAAAGCATCCTGCAGAAGTTGAATAAAAATATGCAAATGTTTAAATGATGCAACTTAATGAAGGCTGACAGCAGTTGTACTATTTTACATTGCAGCGAACAGGGGTGACCATTAGTTTCAACGTTTTTACAGCATTTTTCACATTGAAAGTGAAATAATATAAATAATGTCTCAATTAAATTGCGTTAATATTTAAAAATACAAAAACTACAGCTTTGTTCACAAGCCAATAAAAATGTACTTGGGCCAGTGGTAAATGAAAATAACACTTATTCAGCACCTGGTTGTTGCGGCTGCATCAGGACACCAGATGTTCAGCCTCCATCCTGTAGGCAGACTTATCCCCGTCTGAGAGGAGTCCAATAATGGTGGTGTCATCTGCAAGCTTAATTAATTTGACAGACTGGTGGTTGGAGGTGCGGCAGTTGGTGTACAGGGAGAAGGGCATAGAAGAAAGAACACAGCCCTGAGGGGAGCTCGTGCTGATGGTCCGGGAGTCCAAGACATTCTTCCCCAGCCTCACTGGTTGCTTCCTGTCCGTCAGGAAGTCAGTGATCCACCGGCAGATGGGATCAGGCACATTCATCTGGGAAAGCAATCCTTGAAGAAGGTCTGAAAGGATGGTGTTGAAGGTAGAGCTGAAGTCCACAAACAGGATCCTAGCATAGATTCTGCAGGACAAAGTGTAGGGCCATGTTGATGGCATCGTCTACAGACCTGTTGGCTCTGTATGCAAACTGCAGGGGGTCCAGGAGGGGGCCGTGAGGGTCTTAAGATAGGAGAGAACCAGGCGCTCAAAAGACTTCCTGACCAGATGTCAGAGCCACAGGTCTGTAGTCTTTTCGTCCAGTGATCTTTGGCTTCTTGAAAGCTATATATGATATAAAAATGATATAAAAACTGTTAATCAGCAAAAGAAATGATATCATAGTTCTTATAAAGAAAGCCTCTATCAATCAAACACCAGCAGTGTAGCAATGTTGTTCACTTACACTGTATATAAAACACTGATTTTGGCTACATCCAGTTTTTACTGTATTATAAACATTTTTTACCATGAAGAGTAAAGTGTTTGGCATTTTTGTCATTGTTATTGAGCTCAGAGATCAGGCCCAGCCCAGTATCTACCTGGTTATGAGCAAGGAGCTGGAGGTGATAACTCAACAATAACCAGGCCATGCATGCATGGATGGATGCATGGATGGATCAGTTTGTAGGCTGTGTGTGGTCAGCAGCAGGCTGCTGGGTGTGGACCAAGAGGGAAAGCCCAGCATGTGAAACCCATCAGCAGAAGGCCAGAACAAAGGTGCACAGACAAACGCAGCCCAGACACTCAGGCAGGACGAGTAAAATAAATGGCAGCAAGCACAGTATGATGTGGTAAAATGTGCTTTCTTTCACAAACAGATAGCACAAACAAGAATCACAAGAATCTCCTTTGTGGTTCTTGTTTTTCTTTTGAGTACATTAATAAAAAGTTGAAATAAAGTGGCAATAAAATTCATGCACTGAAGACCACACGAAACCCTAATTCACCCTACTACCTGTTGCCTTCACATTCCATTTGCATCCCTTGTCCACAGAATCAAAAATGACCCTTCTTCACTAAAGATCGAACATAAAGTAATTGCATTTTAAATGGAAGCCCATTTTGCATTAAGAAACACTATCAGCAATCAGAAATTGTGTATATCAGAGTTCTCTGTTTTTACTGTCCTGAAAACTGCATTAATTCAGTGGATGCGGTTAGGTTCAAAACAACGTAATATAAGAGGGCAACCAATTCAATCTAAGAGGGATCCAATTTTTATCCATTCATGTACCAGCTACTGGCTTTTTGCTGTTATGTTCTCATATCGCGTGAGAGTTTATTTGCCAGGTGTCAGAAGTCTAATAATAAAGCTCCGGCACAACGTGGTCGAAGTTACCCGCATATCGGATCGCATCATGTCAGTGAAGATCGACGCCGACCCGACCGTCCTACGGATTATCTCCTGCTATGCACCACAGACCAACTGCCCCGACGAGGAGAAGACAGAATTCTGGCGCACCCTCGACGACCACCTGCAAACGATTAGCCTGAGGAACACGTGGCGGTAGGCGGCGACCTAAATGGACATGTAGGCAAGGGGAGAAACGGATATCACCGATTCCATGGTGGCCAAGGATTTGGGACCAGAAACGACGACGGTTGCCGGGTACTGGACTACGCAGAGGCCCACGATCTTGCCGTGACCAACACCTTCTTCAAAAAGAAGCCGGCACACCTCATCACGTACTCCAGCGGCGGCAGAGACACCCAAATCGACTACTGGCTAGTCACGAACGTAAAAGTCATACCATCAACCAATATTGGCCCTCAACATCGGCTACTTGTGATGGATCTCCGACTCAACCTTGGCCAACGACAACGAAGAACACCAACCACGACGGTGGAGAAGATCAAGTTGTGGCGCCTCCTGAGGGATCCAATTTTTATCCATTCATGTACCAGCTACTGGCTTTTTGCTGTTATGTTCTCATATCGCATGAGAGTTTATTTGCCAGGTGTCAGAAGTCTAATAATGAATAAAGTTCAGGATATGCTTAAAAACTCACCTCAGTATAGCCGTCATCAGAAGGAAGTGCGCTTCACTGACTCATCAACTTGTCTCAGGCTTTCCACAAAGTTTCACAGTTGACCTTAAAGTAAGATGCTGCAAGCTTACCTTGCAGTGTATTACTTTTTAAGGTCTAAAGACCTTAAAGTGCGCTATAGATTGAAGTGATTTGAACTGACAACAGGGCTAATTCAGCACTTCAAGTTAACATCAATAAAAGTTTTTAAATTTATTCTGATTTCCGTTTGTTTTCATTGCCTGTGCTATCTGTTATTTAGTTCAAATTGTGGGTAGATAATGCTGTGCTGTCATGTGACCTGTTCTCTCATGTGTGCCTTTCTCTTGTTTTGTATGTATTTCTCGTTTGTTATTTATTCCTATTTTATTCCTGCAATTGGTATGGAATTCATTTTTTAAAAAAATTGATCAGTGTTTTGAAATTAGATGTGATGAACATGTGACCTTAATTTACAAAATCAACATCATGTTGGATTCAATGAGACATGAAACTAGTGCATGAAACAGGTCTCAGTAAATGTTCTCATAGACTGCAATACACTGCCCCCTGCTGGTCATTATAAAGTCTGCAGATGTCATTTGACATGAATGTCATATTTGTGAAACAAAATAAAGGACTCTGTAAAATAAATGAAAATCAAATATTTATATACAGAATATTTATGTACAAATGCTGAAAAAGACATTTGAACAAGATGCACACCCAGTAAAATTAAAAAAAAAAGAAAAGTCAGTTTTATCATGTGACTATCATGCTGTCATTTCTGCACAATGCACTTTACACCAGATCAAAATAAAACACTGTGAGGTCGTTCTAACCGGAAGCCCAGAGAGCTTCGACAATGCAGCACAATGCCCTGAAGCATCAGCATCAAAATATACTTCAAGTACCAAAAAGTACTCATTGTGCAGAATGCCCTATTTTTGAATAGCTGGACATTTTAATTACTTTATCACCAGCTGTGACTACAGCTGATAATCAACCATGTTTCATAGGGATGTGACTACATTTAGAAATGTCACGCATTTTTAGGTATAAAGCAAAAGATGCAATGAAATAAATAAGCTATCACATATTAATCCAAATGAATTCACTGAAATACATCTGCACATTTCTGCAGCCTGACTTATTACACACGTGAACACAGTACACATTTGTTTACTGCAAGCTTGTTTCAGAGATATGATGCAGTTAAATCTGTATGTGTCTGTTTCCTTGTAGTGTTAGTAGAGATGGTGAACCTGACACAATCCTGTGTTTAGTGTGAAGGAAACCAGTTAACAGCCGGTTTAGTGAAATTCTCTTGAACACATGGAAAACTCATCGTCGTCTCGAAGTGAGCAGCTGAAGCGTCCCGTGTGATCAGAGGTCCTCGTCGTCCTCGCTCACCACGACGTCGAGCTCTTTGTCTTTCCGTACGACGCTCTCGGTGATGAACTCCTTCTGCTGCTCCTCCAGCTCACGCAGCTCCGCCTGCAGGCGCTCCAGGTGGAGCACTCGCCGGTTCCTCAGCAGCCGGCTGGGGAATGGGTTCATGTCGTTGAAGGCGATGCTGGTCAGCTTCCTGCATGGACACACGCAGGTGGAAAGGACTCGATCACCAACACAGAGGAACTGGAAACTGATCAGCTTGAGTGTTTCTGTTTTATACTGCTTGATACTCCAGGTACTGCAGTTTGAGCAGGAAATACTGGACTGACTGGACCACATGTATCCGAGAGCTGCAGATACTTAAAAATCTTTAAATCGTTGTTACTGTGATCAGGGAAATTTAAACTTCCATCCATCCATCCATCCATTCGCTACCGCTTATCCTTTTCAGGGTCGCAGGGGGCACTGGAGCCTATCCCAGCTGTCATAGGGCAAGAGGCGGGGTACACCCTGGACAGTTCGCCAGTCTGTCGCAGGGCTAACACACAAGGACAGACAACCATTCATACTCACATTCACTCGCAAATTTAAACTTCTCACAAAATTTCAGTAAAAAGGGTTTGAAGCTCAAAGATTCAACAGCTACATCCGCTTCACTTCTGAGAGTGTAACAGCTCGTAGATTAAGGCGGGTGGAGGCGAGTGCGTACCTGGCATTGGAGACGGTCTTTGTGAAGAAGCGTAGGTACTGGTAGATCTCCACGCTGTCGTGAATCTTCAGGATGTCGTCCTCTTTGTATTTGAACAGAGCCAGAGTGTATCTGAAGATCACCTGCAGCACAGACACGCATTTCATAACAGGACACTCACGCCACACAATTAATTGGAAACTTTGAGGAGGTGAGTCATAAAATTACTCTTTCAGTTGTGGTGCAGTTGGGCCCTTTACTCATTACAGCTCTGATCGATTTCCAATAAGCCACTTGGTTCCTCAGTTGCCAGATAATATTAACTTACTTGGTAGTTGAGCTTTAAGTTTAAATTAAACTTTTGGGTTGGATCTACGTGGCTGAAGCTGTTGTCAGCATTTATCCCTGTGTGGTATATATTTCTGTGTCTGAACTGTGATTTTATTTCCTGAGACAAACGATGTAAAAGCTGTGCTGCATTTGTCACATTGCAGAAACAAGCCCAAAGCCATTGTCCCGCTCATCGTCTGGATTTACGCTGCTTGTGGTAGACTGTGAGGTCGTTACTAGAATTATCTGCTTTCCCACTCCTATTTCATGTCACATGACAGTTCCCCATGCTTAGTAAACAATGTCTTATTACTCCTAAAATGTAAATAAAGACATCTAAAGGTCAAAACAAAATCATTTTTGTTTCCATGGACACTACTGTGGTGCATTCAAGTGTTGTCTGCATTTCTGTCATGGTGTGTTCGGGTGTATGGTACCTTGGTACCCTCATACAGGAAGGCGTCCCACAGAGGCATCAGGATGTCGCTGGGCAGACTCTCCACAAAAACCACCAGGAACCAGTTGAAGGTGACCAGAGAGACGTCAATGTTGTGATCCTCAAAGTGAGATGCCAGGCGAGGAAGCTTCTCCGCCATGAAGTCCTTCAGCACGCGCTGGTCCGCCTGAGCACAAAGACTCACAGAGATCAGCCTCACTGATCACTAAAACAGATCACAGCAGGCAAGCAGGTGAGTGTGTCTGCTGACCTGAGAGGCCACCAGATTCTTGGTGTAGTAGTCCTGAGGCATGATGGCTTCCACCACTGCCACCAGACACCAGAAGGCATCTTCTTCACTTTGGAGGACCAGCAGAGCGAGGGCCGCTAACCTGTGGACATTGATGGAAGGTGAGGTTCTGCCTGGAAGGCGGGTCCACATAAGAACTCAGATATAAAATTTATATTTTTGTTCTGACCTGTTTAGTCCCTGGCAGTAGCCAATGGCAGGGTTATGCCAGGAGAAGGCCAGAAGGATGCGGCGGAGCTGCTGGAGGGCGGGGCTGGACGGCGAAGAGAAGTGCTGATTGGTCGTCAGGGTTCGGTGAAGGTCCAGCTGGACCTGCCTGGAGGCAGGATTAGGAGCTGTCCGACTCTTCTCACACAGCTGGAAACAGAACAGGATTACTGAGTGCTCGCCAGCATTCCCAACAGGAAGAAGGAGGAGCCACCTGTGCTCAGGTGCGGATAAAGCACTCTCTCTCTCTACAGCTGTACCTGCTGATAGCGTTGCGGGTGGCGCTCTTGGCTTGTCAAAGTTCTGGCTCGGACCAAACAGCGCCACACTCTCTGCCGATACTCCCGAGGGACGCCTTCACGCACCAGAATTTTGAGCTCAGGTGTGATGATGAAGTCATCGTTGGACCTGCCTGCAAGGTACTGAGCCCAGCGGCTCAGCAGGGGGTGCTCTAGACACTCCTACAGGGACAAACGAGATCGCCAGTTACTGAACATCGTAGCTCTTGATCAAAACTGGAAAAAGTTTCTTTGTAGGAAACTGCTTTCCGGTTTTGGACTGTCGGTCGGCTCTGAACAGGACATGATGGGCAAATAATATAAAACATAATTAATAAATAGCATTAAACATACAAAATAATGTTGATTATGACTATAAAGACTAAATCTTTAATAGGGGACATGTAACCACGGTAACTTCTGACCCCACTTCCGCCAGTCCCTTTATTGTGGCGGGAATGAACCCTGTATAAGTTCCGGGTCAATCAGCTGCATGTCCCTGCTCCTCTGGCTGCTGTTGTCCCTGTGGTTGGCGTACTTGTCAGATATCGACAAAGTTTACACTACAGACCAGTTGACAGCGTGCAATAACCCGGCCGATTCATCCATCTTTACACTACCTTACAATCGACGAGGTCTTCACCTCCTGCCGGACAGGTTTCCACTGACCAGCAAGGGGCACGACCGCGTCAAAGCCAGACTGGACCAACTCCAAGAGTATAACTCACAGCCCATGATCTCAACCCACCACAAATACAAAGGGTTGTTGTTGAGCATGTGGTCCGAAACCCAGACATAGGCACCACAACTTCACTACGTCTCCGTGCTTTTTCAGGAAGGATTCCTAAGCCAAGTAGTGAAGCAGATTTTGAATCATGGCGTTCCCAAATTGATCTACTGCTTGCCGACCCCAGTTTGTCAGCTCTATACATCGCCAGACGTATTATAGAGAGCCTGTTGTCACCTGCTGCTGATTTGGTTAAAGGTCTAAGTCCCAACACATTGCCTTCAGTCATACTAAGTGTACTTGACTCCGCTTTTGGAACAGTTCAAGATGGTGAAGAATTGTATGCTCAATACTTAAATATTCTTCAAAATCCAGGTGAACGACCATCCGCTTACCTCCAAAGATTGCAGCTAACCCTCAGCACTGTTGTAAAGCAAGGAGGACTTGCAGCTGCTGACATGAATAAACATCTGCTGAAGCAGTTTTGTCGTGGGTGTTGGGATAACACTATACTAACCAAGTTACAATTAGAACGGCAAAAGGACAACCCACCACCTTTCTCTGACTTATTGTTGTCGTTACGGACAGAAGAAGACAGACAAATTGCTAAGGAGTCACTTATGAAAAAATACATCGGTTCATCAAAACAAAAAGCCAACATCCAATCCCAAAGCACTTGTTCTTGTTGGCATTCTACAGCCAATGAAGAGCTAAAAGAAATGAAAAAACAACTCCAAACCCTCCAACAGCAAATGTCCCAACTTTTGTCCCGAAAAAGTCCAACCGAGTCAAAGTTTAAGCCACGACAAAACAAGTCTAGTCATTCTTCACCGCAGTCAAATACCAAACCCAAGCCATGGTACTGTTTTAACTGTGGAGAAGATGGCCATGTTTCTTACACCTGCAACAACAGAGCAAACCCCAGTCTTGTTGAACAGAAAAAGAACCAATTAAGGAAAAAACAGCAAGATTGGGACGCTAGAAATACTTCATCTTTAAACTAGAAGGAGCTTCTGCGCTGGGACACACAGGAGTTGCGTGCACTAACAGTCCCAGAAACCACAACAAATTTCCATTGCTGCCAAAAGGGCTTGTGGGGACCAAAAGCACAGGACAAATTCAAATCAAGGGCAACCATTTCAACTGCCTTCTTGATTCTGGCTCTCAGGTTACTACCATTCCTTATTCCTTCTATAATACTTATCTTTCAGACCATCCAAGCAAACCACTAAATGATCTGTTGGAAGTAGAAGGAGCAAATGGACAAGCCGTACCTTACCTGGGATACATTGAGATTAACATGACGTTCCCAGCTGATTTTCTTGGTTCATCCATTAATGTTGATACACTTGCTCTTGTCGTGCCTGACGTCCAGCAATCACACCCAATGATACTTGTTGGTACCAACACTGTTGACGTTGCGTACAGCAAACACTGTGATACCCTCTCTGAGCAGTCATTCCTGCCAACTGGTTCCGGTTACATTGCAGTTTATAAAATCCTCCAGTGTCGCCACATCCAGAATCCGAATGACCAGTATGCTCCTTGAAGTCAGACCAACCACATACCATTACTGCCGGCCAAACCACTGTCCTTGAGGGATGCCTGGTCACAAGGCTATTCCAAGGTGAGAAAGCAGTTATTCTGGAACACCCCACCTCCAGTTCTCTGCCTGGTGGACTCCTAGTAAAAACCTGCCTTGTGGACTTACCTAAACATCAGCCATGTTTTCTGCCTATTGTAGTGAGTAATGAGTCTGACCATGAAATCCACATTCCAGCTCGAGCTATTATTGCAGAAATCAGTGCCTTCCAGGAAGTCATTTCCAAAGAGCAACACATCCAGTATTCAGACCAGTCTATAGAGTCGTTACCTCAATCTCAACCACAATACAACTTTGGAGATTCCCCTTTAACTCCGGACTGGAAAGAACGCATTGTTCAAAAACTCAACAGTATTCCTGAAGTATTTGCCAAACACGATCTGGATTTCGGCAGGACCGACAAAGTTAAACACCAAATCAAATTGTCCGATCCAACTCCTTTCAAGCAAAGACCACGACCAATTCACCCTCAAGATCTTGATGCTGTAAGGAAACACCTGCAAGAACTTCTTGACTCTGGCGTTATCAAAGAATCCGACTCACCATTTGCCTCTCCAATTGTGGTTGCACGCAAAAAGAACGGGAGTGTACGTCTTTGTATTGACTACCGCAAACTCAATCTGCAAACAATCAAAGATGCTTATGCTCTGCCTAAACTGGAAGACATCTTCTCCGCACTTGTAGGATCAAAGTGGTTCACGGTGCTAGACCGCAAGTCAGGTTACTACCAAATTGAAATGGAGGAGAAGGATAAGACAAAGACTGCCTTTGTGTGCCCATTAGGATTTTGGGAATTTAATCGGATGCCACAAGGGATTACCAATGCACCAAGCACATTCCAACGGCTGATGCATGGGAGAATTAAATCTAAAAGAAGTCCTGGTTTTCATTGACGATCTCATTGTTTTTGCACCAACTCTTGAGGAACATGAAGCTCGCCTGCTGAAAGTTCTCACCAGACTCAAAGAGTTTGGCTTGAAGCTTTCACTTGAGAAATGCATGTTCTTCCAGACATCTGTGAAGTATCTGGGCCATGTAGTGTCCCAGGCTGGTGTTGAAACTGATCCGGACAAGAGTTCCACACTCACTTCTTGGCCAGTGCCAAATAACTTGAAGGAATTAAGATCTTTCCTTGGTTTTGCTGGGTACTACAGACATTTTGTCCAGGGATATTCGGCCATTGTCAAGCCGTTGCATGATCTCACTGCTGGTTATCCACCTTCCCAGAGGAAACTGAGACGAACTGCAAAGCCAGAGAATTACCTCAACCCCAAAGAGCCATTTGGAGGACGATGGGCGCAAATGTGTCAACAAGCTTTTGAGTCCATTATTGACAAACTTACTTCTGCGCCAGTTCTGGCATTTGCTGATCCCCGGAAACCATACACACTCCACACTGATGCCAGTGCCACAGGTCTTGGTGCGGTGCTGTATCAAGAGCAGGATGGAAAAAACAGAGTCGTAGCATATGCCAGCAGAGGTCTTTCCCGGAGTGAGTCAAAGTATCCCGCCCACAAATTGGAGTTTCTTGCTTTGAAATGGGCGGTGACTGAAAAATTCCACGACTATCTTTATGGTGCTCAGTTTACAGTTGTGACAGACAGCAACCCATTAACATACCTCTTATCATCAGCAAAACTTGATGCTACCGGTTACAGATGGCTTTCAGCTTTGTCCACTTTCACCTTCAAATTAATCTATAGAGCAGGAAAGCAGAACTCGGATGCTGATGGTTTGTCTCGCCGACCTCATGGTGAACTGTCTGATGATCCTCTGTCACAGAAAGAACGTGAGCGAATCTGGAGATCTGCATGGCGACATCTCAATGAACCAGATCATGTCTCTATTGACCAGCATACCATCAAAGCAGTTTGTGACTGTCATCTGGTGTACAGTTCAAGCACTGATCCTGATCTTGCTCTGGTGTTATCCATGTCTGTCAATGTCAACAGTCTGCCTGACAGTTTCACGGACGACATCCAGTTCACCTCCATGGTACTCCCCCAAATCTCAACAGCTGACCTTGCAGCCAAACAACGCCTTGACCCTGTCATCCGGCATGTCATAGCTCAGGATGAGCAAGGAGAGTCACCACCACCATTCCTGAGGGAAGAACTTCCCGATCTACCTCTATTACTGCGAGAAGTAAATAAACTGGAGCTCCATAACACCCTTCTCGTCAGGAAGAGACAAGTGGGAAGTGACTTCACATACCAGCTAGTGCTACCCGAGGAATATCGACCAGTTGTACTACACCACCTACATGATCAAATGGGTCACATGGGAATTGACAGAACGCTGGACTTGGTCCGTTCCCGGTTTTATTGGCCTAAGATGACGAGTGATGTGGTCAATAAAATAAGACACTGTGAAAGATGCGTGAGATGCAAATCTCTATCTGAACGAGCCGCACCTCTCATCCCATGGAACTGGTGTGTGTGGATTTTCTCTCTGTGGAACCAGATCGTGGAGTCAAAGACATACTTGTCATAACTGACCATTTCACAAAATATGCCATTGCTGTGCCAACACCAAACCAGAAAGCCAGGACTGTTGCCAAATGTTTATGGGACAACTTTCTTGTGCATTATGGTATCCCAGAACGCTTGCACAGTGACCAAGGCCCTGACTTTGAATCCAGAATCATCCGAGAGCTTTGTGAAATGGCTGGGATCCACAAAATAAGAACCACTCCATACCATCCAAGAAGCAATCCTGTTGAACGGTTTAACCGAACATTACTGGATATGCTAGGAACACTCACAGCTCAACAGAAATCCCATTGGAAAGATTTCGTAAAACCCCTGGTGCATGCATACAATTGCACAAGAAATGATGTTACAGGTTTCTCACCATATGAGCTTATGTTTGGCCGCCAACCTCGCTTACCGGTGGACTTGGCCTTTGGACTACCCCTTGCCAAAGAAGGATCAACATCCCACAGACAATATGTGGAAAAACTAAAGTCCCACCTAGAAGAAAGTTACAAGCTGGCCATCGAAAACTCTGAAAAGGTGATGAAACGTAACAAAAACAGATTTGATAAAAATGCCACTGCATCACAGCTGAATGTTGGAGACAGAGTTCTTGTGAGGAACGTGCGGCTAAGAGGCAAACACAAGCTTGCAGATAAATGGGAGTCATCTGTGTACATTGTAGTGAAGAAAGCCGGCACTCTTCCTGTGTATACAGTTCGACCCGAAGGCCAAGACAAGCCCCTGAGAACTTTACATTGAGACCTCCTATTGCCCTGTGGGTATTTACCACCTTCTGAAAAGGAAAGGCTTACTAAGCAGAAGAGAAAAATGCTTGTCTTACCCGTGTCTCCTGTATGTGCTGATGATGCTGATGACAATGACGAAGAGGAACTCGTCTCATACCTACCTGTTCCTTTCTCTGCTGAACCGGTCACCTTCACAACAACCATTGACTTACCCAATACTCCGCAACCTGTTCCACTTATCAACCAGCCAGATGTCCCCGTAGTATTGGCTACAGAGTAAGAGAATGCTATTCTCCCAGAGGAACCTGTACCTGTTGAAGAGGAACAAGTTATTGCTAACGGAACCTTGGAAGCTGGCTTTGAGCCAGTTGATCTTGCAGAAACTTCTCACGATGAAGAAAGTCTGTCTTCTGATTCGGAAGCATCCAGAGGTAACTTGTCACAACACTCACCTACTGAATCAGAGCCTCTCAGTCCTGAGGCAGAACCACTCTTGAGGCATTCAACCCGCGCCAGGAATCCTCCTGATCGGCTGCAATACATCAAGCCTGGTAAGCTTCTGTTAAAGAGCGTTCAGACCTTTCTGCATGGGTTAAGTTCTGTCTTCTCCTTCGCTCTTCAAGACGATGAAGAAGAGGAGACGATGCCTTCACACCTCAGCCAACCAGTCATTCGGTGCCAGCCTAGTCCATGTACGAGGACGTCCATGAGATTGGGGGGGAGAGTGTAACCACGGTAACTTCTGACCCCACTTCCGCCAGTCCCTTAATTGTGGCGGGAATGAACCCTGTATAAGTTCCGGGTCAATCAGCTGCATGTCCCTGCTCCTCTGGCTGCTGTTGTCCCTGTGGTTGGCGTACTTGTCAGATATCGACAAATTTTACACTACAGACCAGTTGACAGCGTGCAATAACCCGGCCGATTCATTCATCTTTACACTACCTCACAATCGACTCAACGGTGAGTTATTTGTTTGTTTTGTCACAATTAATGACAATGCGGAGCCGCGATCGCACATCCTAAAACGCCAGTAAGCTAAAGCTAGGCTAGCGACAGTAAGTGCAATTACTAGTTTTATTTATTGAATATTGTTTTTGTTTATTCCGTTATGGACGAATGTTGACTTAATGTATCTAGAGTTGAACGAGTGATTTGATTTTTGTAGTTTTGTCCGTTTTGGATGTTTTTTGTTACTTTTCTGATGAAATGCCAAAGCGGCCTATGAGATTTTGCATTGAGGTAAATTCCATTTAGATTATTGAATCTGTTGCGCAACACCTGTGATTAAATGAGTTTTGTAAATATATTTGATTAACTTTGGATAATGTTTATTAGCTTTATGGCTGATATACTTTGATGGGACCCATGAGAATGTTTTTCTATAATAGTATTTTGAATGAAATTCATTATAAGAGATGATGGTTTGTTGATTGTTGTGTGGAACATGGCATTAATTACTTGTCTTTGTTATTTATGGATATATGTATTTATTTTGTCACAGCAGTAGAATGCTGTTTCATTTTCTTCTGTGAATGATAATTTATGTTTTTGACCTTGTTTAGGTCAGGTTTTTTTTTTTTTTCTCCCGCGATCAGCCCTGATCAGCGCAAGATGGCGAGCCACCCGACCACCGCTACGTTGCGGTAGGAATTGTGAACCTATGGACTGAATCACTGAATCAAACTGTTGACACATGACCTATCACAGGTCCATGGAACTAAAATAAATCACATACTGGACTACACCTCATTCCACCTCCCTTTTGGAACCCAATAAGCTGTTTTGTATTGTCAACATTATTTTTGGTTGTGATATATATGCATATTTATTTATTTTTTGTACATCTGTCTATATATTCCTCATAACAAACATAATATATATGTATATATATATATATATTTTTTTTTTTTTTTTTTTTTTTTTTTTTTTTGAGCTCAACTTTGATTTCCTGTGTTTTATTCACACCCCCTCAGGCTCCACAGTCGAACCTTATTCTGATAGCTCATTGTCTATGAGGCTGCAGTCAGGCGCCCTGGTCCTTTAACCGCATTACAGACAGGTGGAGACAGATGATTGGCTCTGGCAACCCCCTTAAAGGGAGCAGCTGAAAGAAGGTTTGGGCTGATTTATTTATTTTTTAGCCCTGATTAGTGACAGCAGGCCCTGCTAGCCTGCTGGGGGGGTGTCGCACTGAGTTTATTTAACCTCCCCCGGATGAGCGGCTGTAAGCTTTGATTTCTCGGACCTGGTGCAGCAGGTTGTGGGAGCGAATCTCCAGTGCCTGGATCTTTGCCAACAGCTTCATGTCCTCTACCTCGTAGTCTGGGATGATCTTAAAGCCGTACTCATCATGATCCCTGAGGACACAGCAGATGTTTAACACATTCATCAGGTCTGGAGTAAACAGTGAAAAATTTGATCTATTTAGAGTTTCTTCTTCTGAGTTTTTAATTGTCATGTCAAGTGACTCTTGAATGAGAAAGAAGCAGGTTGTGTCTGTTATTTTGTCTACCCTGCTGTTCAGGTGCTCGTACCTGTGCACACTGAGCTTCGTGACTCTCTTCAGCTCTCCCTTCAGAGCGTCCTCGATCATTTTCTGCACGGCCTCCCGCTGGGCCGGATGCAGAGATTTGATCTCCTGCAGCCTCCGCAGGACTCCCAGGTAACGGCTCTCCACCTGACAGTTAGTGGCCTCCAGGAAAGCACACTGCAGCCAATCAGAGGGCAGGAAAAGGCATTAATCACTGTGCTGTAGGCTGTGGGCTGTAGCTGGCCCATAGCAGCTCTGTGTGGTGGTGGAGTGTTTAAATGAACAGAAATGGCATCAGACCGACCTTCACCATCAGGGTTTTCTCCTGCTCTGAGCTTTTCCTCCACAGTTTGGTCAGCTGGTAGATCTCAGAGTTCAGAAACTTGTTCTGAGTCTTATATGCCTCGATGTCATCCTGCAGACACAAACACAGACAACCTGGGAGGTTTAAGAGGTTTTAGACTCAGTAACGTAATATCGGCTGTTTCTTTACTGTTGATAGCTTCAGCTCATTTTGGAAGGTTTTTAAACTTTCTTTAAAACACAATCACTTACACTCTGTACCTTCAAGTAAAACTGTAATTCGCTGTAAGTTATCACTGTGCTTCACCTTGAGGTTGTTGTTCTCCTGCCGAAGCTGTCTGAGAGTCTGAGAGTTGATGCGGCCGGCAGAGGACGAGTCGGGGCGCCGCGGTTCTGACAGACACGCTGTCACCTGATCGGACAGCTTTATGATCACCTGACAGGAAACAGTCGCACAGTGAGTACAGCTGCAGATAGACTTCATGTTTTACTGTCACACAAAGCTCACAGGAAGCAAGAAAAAGTAAATGAGTACATTTACTCAAGTAGAAGTGCTTGTAACTCTAAGCACTTTCTATTTGTCTGCCAGCTGCAGGCGGTGATTCAACAACACAAAACTAGAATAAAGAATCGTTCAACTTCATTTCAGCCGTTCTCATGTTGCGTGGGTGCGTCCTGTTTTGGTTCAGGCAGGAAGAAGAAGCTGAGTCACAGAGCCAGTTACTGCCTAGATACGATACGTGACCACTGGGTGGAGCAGTTGATTGAGCTATATGGTCATAATGCACGCCACACATAAAACAGAATTAAAATGAAACCCTGACAGAGTCAAATATGCAGCCCGGAGGCCGGATTAGGCCCACCAAAGGTCCCAGTGCAGTCTTGGGTGGCTTTGAATGAAGTGAAAATTTAAAAGTTCAGATATCTGGAAAATAAAATCATCTCCTACTCGCGGTGTGAGAAAGCCAGCACAGGAGCAGAAGACTGCTGCTTGAATGATAACGAAATGCTATTTAAACCTGCGACAGCAGAAAACTGAGTGAAGTTGTCTGTTTTAGACTTCGTAAGCAGCTCGCAGCATATTAAACATGAACCTTTTCAGAATGTGTTTGGACTTAAAAAGACATAATTTCTTTCTAAATATTTGTCTTGGATTCAGAAATCTGCAGTAAACTAATTTCACGAATTTGAGATCAAACTGCAGTGTATGTGGCACTCAAACTGACACAGCTGATCATTTTAAATAACTGAAACAACTCATGATTATGAAGGACGAGCTACCTAAAGAACCCTACTCTCAGCACGTTTTTTTTTTATTTTTTTTATCGTCAGTCATAACTACTGCAGCCTCCTCTCTCCTCCTGATGAATTTTAGGAATTGAGATGTTTCAGTGTGGCGTACAACAATTCAAATCCAGGTCAAAGGTAGGCGGACGGTCCAAATAAGGAGGCACAAACTTGAAGAATCAGAAAATATTAAAAAAATTAAAAAAAAAACACCTCCTGAAGAGACCTAAGTAACATCACAGAACACCAACCTGCCAACCGCTCTTTAAAAGTGAAGACACGGAGCTCGCTCAATGAGCATTTTGCTCTGTGATCTTCCTTAAACGTTCCCCTTTTTTGTTCTTTTGGCTACAATTCTCAGTTTTCCAACGAATCACATGGCACATCCATCATCTGGGCTGGTCATTTAGGTGAAGCGTTGAATGCACAGGAGAGGCCCTCTGTCTGATCTAATCAACATCCACCCACATTCGGTTTGTTTTGTGCTTTTTTTTTTTTTTTTTTTTTTTTTTTTTCCTGAGCCAGCAGCAGCTCCAGGAACAGCTCCAGATCTCAGAGAAACTTTCAGTCATGGAAACAAACGTGCACAGTTTATTTTAACGTGACCAACCAGAGGTCAGTCTGACAGCAACCTCTGGTTTGTCCTCACCTCCTGTTTGGCGTTGTTCTTCTCCTTCAGCATCCTGTTGTTGTGCTGCAGCTCGGCGACCTGCATGGCCTTCTCAGCCAGACTCTTCTTCACCACCTCCACCTCCATCTTGGCCTCGTCGAGCCGCCCCCGGAGGTCGGCCGCCTGCCGCTCGCGGTGTCGGAGCAGCTCCAGACGTTCCTGCTCATCCTCCTCTGCCAAAAACTCGGCACAGGTTCGCTTCTCCAGCTGAGAAGCCTCCAGCGCTTTGTGGAGGATCCACACCAGCTCCTGCAGGAGGCGCTGTGTTTGTCACTTTTTTCAGTGGCAGCAGAGATCAATAAAACTTTATGATTACTGAACGACTGATCACCTTCTGAGCTTTGACCTCCTCCATCAGCATCTCTTTTTCCTGCTGCAAGCGGCCTATCCGGTCTGAGGACTGAGACGCCATGTCTCTGCGGCGGACAGGCAAGGTGGACGTGCTGCGAGCCTTCACCCTGCGGCTGCAACTCTCAAACAGTGATGGTGACTCCCTGCCATCTGTAGGGGGCGCCTGATCAGCGGCATTGAGCAATGGTAGGGGAGGGGAGAGGCTCGGGGATTCAGAGGGAGTGCTGAGGGTTGGAGAAGCTGAGAAGTGACAGAGAAGGATTAAAAGAAGTCACACGCCTGGATGCTGAAGCGGGTAAACTTCTTCACAAATAAAATTTTTATCATTAGAGAAAAAATTACCAATAATCATCCTACAGATGTAATATTATCTACAGCTACTTTTAGTACCATTGATGTTAAGTTAGACTCTTTTTCTCCAATTGATCTTTCTGAGTTAACTTCAATAATTACTTCCTCCAAACCATCAATGTGTCTTTTAGACCCGATTCCTACAAAACTGCTCAAAGAAGTCCTGCCATTTATTAATTATTCAGTCTTAAATATGATCAACCTATCTCTAATAATCGGCTGTGTACCACAGGCCTTCAAGCTGGCTGTAGTTAAACCTTTACTCAAAAAGCCATCTCTAGACCCAGCAGTGTTAGCTAATTATAGGGCAATCTCCAACCTTCCTTTCATATCAAACATCCTTGAAAGAGTAGTTGTCAAACAGCTAACCGATCATCTGCAGAGGAATGGTTTATTTGAAGAGTTTCAGTCAGGTTTCAGAGTTCATCACAGCGCAGAAACAGCTTTAGTGAAGGTTACAAATGATCTTCTTATGGCCTCTGACAGTGAACTCATCTCTGTGCTTGTCCTGCTAGACCTTAGTGCCACAGGGTTCAGTGCTAGGACCAATTCTGTTTACATTATACATGCTTCCCTTAGGCAGTATCATTAGAAGACATAGCATACATTTTCACTGCTATGCAGATGACACCCAGCTCTATCTATCCATGAAGCCAGATAACACACACCAATTAGTTAAACTGCAGGAATGTCTTAAAGACATAAAGACCTGGATGGCCGCTAACTTTCTGCTTCTTAATTCAGATAAAACTGAGGTTATTGTACTCGGCCCTGAAAATCTTAGAAATATGGTATCTAACCAGATTCTTACTCTGGATGGCATTACTTTGGCCTCCAGTAACGCTGTGAGGAACCTTGGTGTGATTTTTGACCAGGACATGTCCTTCAACGCACATATTAAACAAATATGTAAGACTGCATTCTTCCATTTGCGCAACATCTCTAACGTTAGAAATATCCTGTCTCAGAGTGACGCTGAAAAACTAGTTATTACTTCCAGGCTGGACTACTGCAATTCATTATTATCAGGAAGTCCTAAAAACTCGCTGAAAAGCCTTCAGCTGATCCAAAATGCTGCAGTAAGAGTCCTGACAGGGACTAGAAAGAGAGAGCATATTTCTCCTGTTTTGGCTTCCCTTCATTGGCTTCCTGTTAAATCCAGAATTGAATTCAAAATCCTGCTCCTCACATACAAGGTCTTAAATAATCAGGCCCCATCTTATCTTAATGACCTTGTAGTACCATATCACCCTATTAGAGGACTTCGCTCTCGCTCTGCAGGCTTACTTGTTGTTCCTAGAGTATTTAAAAGTAGAATGGGAGGGAGAGCCTTCAGTTTTCAGGCCCCTCTTCTGTGGAACCAGCCTTCAGTTTGGATTCGGGAGACAGACACTATCTCTACTTTTAAGATTAAGCTTAAAACTTTCCTTTTTGCTAAAGCATATAGTTAGGGCTGGACCAGGTGACCCTGAATCCTCCCTTAGTTATGCTGCAATAGACGTAGGCTGCCGGGGATTCCCATGATGCATTGAGTTTTTCCTTTCCAGTCACCTTTCTCACTCACTATGTATTAACAGACCTCTCTGCATTGAGTCATCCGTTATTAACCTCTGTCTCTCTTCCACAGCATGTCTTTTATTCAGTCTTCCTTCTCTCACCCCAACTGGTCGCAGCAGATGGCCCCGCCCCTCCCTGAGCCTGGTTCTGCCGGAGGTTTCTTCTTGTTAGAAGGGAGTTTTTCCTTCCCACTGTCGCCAAAGTGCTTGCTCATAGGGGGTCATATGATTGTTGGGTTTTTCTCTGTATCTATGAAGCGCCTTGAGGCGACTTTTGTTGTGATTTGGCGCTATATAAATAAAATTGAATTGTAAAGAAACTGATGGTGGTAATTTACAGGACAAACACAGACTAACAAGCTCTTAATAAAAACCCGAGGACTGAAGCGGACCATGGCCCAAATCAGGTACAAAATACTCAGTACAGGTGAGTCACAGTTCAGGCTGATGTTTATGTGTTTAGTCTGAAGTCAAAATGAAAAAGTCCCAGTTCAAGTCCAATTTAAAGTCACAGGTAACTATAGATGCATCTTCTTCCTTCCACATCTGATGGGCACCGCAGGCCTCAACTTTATTTCTATATAACCCCAAATCACAAAAATGCTGCCTTATTATCTCAAAGTAAAGGCCTTACAGTATTAGAGAGACTTCAGTGATTACATGATCCTCCATGTGGAGCACTTTATGACAGAAGATGCCTTCAACAGAAGCAGGATCAGAGTGGGGCAGCAATCTGTCTCGACCAAATATGGGTGGAAACATTCATAACATGGTTTGGTTCACTGTCACCTGTCACCTACACAACACTAACTACAAGGTTTATTAAAAAGAGAAATCTAATAGGAAAAGTAGAGAGTGTTCCTGAATCCAAACTGGGGAGCTCGTCTGTTATATTCTGCAGAATTTCAAACAGCTGAAGGCTTTTCAACGAGCTTTAAGAACAACCTGACAATGAATTCCAACAGTCCAGCCTAGAAGTAGGAAATCTGTGAACTAATATTTCAGCATCACTTTGAGGCCATGTTCTTAATTTTGTTGATGTTGCATATATGAAACAAAAAAGGCCTACATATTTGTCTAATGTGCGCACTGACGGACATAAGTGACTCCGAGACTCCTCACAGGGCTGCTGGAGGCAAAGGTAACACCATTCAGAATAAGGATCTGGTTGGACACCAAGTTTCTGAGGTTTTTAGGGCCGCGTACAATAAAAAACTTCAGTTTGTGTGAATTTAAAAGGAGAAAATTTAACATCATTCAAGTCTTTAAGTTATGACTGTAGTTTAACTGATTTGCGTCATGTGGTTTCATAGATGAATAAAAATGGTATTACTGGTGTACTCTAAGCTCTAGCTAGTTACTGTAGTACTGCTGTAGTACTGTATATACATACTGGGGGTGTTGACTGTGTCGGCAATGTTCGGGGGAATCCAGGGAGGAGCTTCTACATGAAACACGCTCTGACTCCAGTCCTGGGATGACCTCTTACGCAGACAGTGGACTGAGTTTCTGTACTCAGAAAGAAGAAACATGAAGACCAACAACAAAACAAGTGGAAGACATCAGACTGTCTGAGCCGTTTAAATGTCTCAGATTTGTGGCCGAGGGGACTCACTGGATCTCGATGAGCGGATGCTTGAGCGACACGTTGGCGAGGGGAATTCGCGTCATCGGCACACTGGCGGCCCCCTCCCCGACCAGACCGATGGGGCTCTTCAACACTGGCAGGAAGTCATCTGCACAAACACACACAGACATTCAACACCTCAGACACACACGCAAAGCCTGTGTGTTTTCTTCTAGCTGCTTATTTTCAATGAATGTGTGTTTGATGTTTAAATACTTTTTATTTGACCTTTACTTATACACTCTCTTATATAGTCTCATTAAGACTCGGTGTCTCATTTACAAGAGTGACCTGTGTCAGACAAACATTAAAATCGCAGCAATAGAAGAAACAATAGAATAGCTAAAATTGTCTAACGTTTACACATTCATGTCAAAAACAGGAACAAGTTCCCAGGGATGATTTCACAAAGTCATTTGTACGTCTTTTAAAGTCTACAAGTGACATCAGCTGATGTCATATCGTGTATCCCACAAAGATGGGGCAGAAAAAGAGGAATGCCTTCTTTCTGAGTTCTGTATGAACTGATGGTGACTGTAATAAAATCCTGAGACTGCAGACTATGACTAAACTGTTTGCATGATGTGTACTCTGATAAATAAGAAGGGAGTAAACCATACATAGATTTACAGATAAAATTATACCAATGAACCATCCTGCATATGGCCAGTGAGAGCCAGTCAACCAGAGAATATAAGTACAGTGGCGTGCCAAAGGTTTACAGCTGCTTGTAAATCTTAGTGCCCTGTGATAAACAGTCCATGAAATGGAGAGAAAGAGCAGAGGCATTCATCTAAATTTTATCGCTGTAATCCAGGAGGGGTTAACAGGTGGTAACAACGAGCCTTTTCCTTGCTGTGAAAGAGAAACACGATTGATTTTTGGAAAAGAAGCCCAACTTCAGCCTCAGTTTCAGTAATTTTCACATAAACTAGTTTTTTTTCCTGCATTCAAAAGCAGTCTGAGCTGACACAGCTGTGACTGTATAAATTCAAAACACAATAAATAATTGTATCATCTGTGTAAAAATTAACCGAAGCATTAAGATTTTGTCCACAGCCATTAACATAAATAGTAAATAGTGCAGGCCCCACTACATAACCCTGGGGCACTCTCTGGAAGAGAGGCCACTGAGCTACATGCACTGCTGATGGTCAGAAAAGTCATTAGTAATACACCAAACTGCTTGGTCTGAAAGGCCTACGACCAGTAGTCTCTGGCATAAAATGTCATGGTCAATAGTGCTAAAGGCTTTTGAAAAACCAATAAAAAGAGCAGCGCAGTAGTTCTTTGAAGGCTTTCAAGGCTCAATAAACATCATTAAGAACTTTTAAGAAAGCAGTTTCATAGCATTGCAATTTCCTAAAGCCAGACAGAGAAGGAGATAAAGAAAAACTACTATAATCCAAGAAACTCTAAGTTGATTATTTACCAGACTAAGATCCAGAGTTTGGAAACTGGTCTGTACTGTAGTTATTGACCATTGAAGAATCACCAGTTTTCAGTAGGGGAGTAAAAAAAAAGGCACACTTCCAAATCTCTGGTAAAGGGTTCTGTTGTATGGAAAGATCAAAACACATCAACACTGGCTCAGCTATGACTCTTGCGTCCAGGCAAAAAAAGAAAGGTGACAGGAATATAAAGATGTTCACTCTTTTTAAAACTGTTGAAAAAAAGCTCAGGCTAATTGTTTTACGAGTCTGAACCTTAGCACACTTCACTGACGGGTCTTAAATTGTTTAATTATTACACTGAACAAAAATATAAACGCAACACTTTTGTTGCTCCCATTTTTCATGAGCTGAACTTAAAGATCCGAAACATTTGCTACATACACAAAGGACCCATTACTATCAAATATTGTTCACAAATCTGTCTGAGGCTACGTCCACACGTACCCGGGTATTTTTGAAAACGCAGATTTTGCTGTGCGTTTGCACCTTTCGTCCACACGTAAACGGCGTTTTCGGTCACTGAAAACGGAGATTTTTTAAAAACGCCTGCCAGGGTGGATATTTTCGAAAGCTCCATTTTTGCATTTACTTGTGGATGAGGAAAACTGAGAAAACGCAGCGTCAAAGGTGTGCGCCATGTTATTGTTTCGGTGAAATTAATTTCTACAGTGGGGGACAAAATACTGTTAACTGTACTCTCTGCAGTGTTTAAATGCTTACACATACACACACAGTTACTATCCCTGCACACATAGGTTCTGCTTCTTTGTGCCATCTTTGTTTACTATTTCCCACCGAGGCTTCTAGACTTCTGATTGGCCAACATTTCTACACGTTTAGGAATATATCGCCACCTGTTGCTTTGGCATGTTCCTACCAGCGTTTTCCTTCACTTTTGCGTTTACGTGTGGACGGGATTATTTTTTAAAACGGAAACGGAAAATCTCCGTTTTCAAAAATATCCGTGTACGTGTGGACGTAGCCTAAATCTGTGTTAGTGAGAACTTCTCGTTTGCCGAGATAATCCATCCCACCTCACAGGTGTGGCATGTCAAGGTGCTGATTAGACAGCATAAATATTGCACATGTGTGCCTTAGATTGCCCACAATAAAAGGACACTCTGAAATATGCAGTTTGATCACACAGCACAATGATACAGAAGTCGCAGCTTTTGAGGGAGCGTGCAATTGGCATGCTGACTGCAGGAATGTCTACCAGAACTCTTGCCTGTGAAATGAATGTTAATTTCTCTGCCATAAGCCGTCCTCAAAGGCGTTTCAGAGAATTTGGCAGTACATCCAACCGGCTTCACAATCGCAGACCACATGTAACCACACCAGCCCAGAACCTCCACATCCAGCACGTTCACCTCTAGGATGGTCGACCAGGTGGAGACCAGCCACCCAGACAGCTGCAGCAACAATCAGTTTGCATAAAAAAGAATTTTTGCGAAAACTGTCCGAAACCATCTCAGGGAAGCTCATCTGCATGCCCGTCGTCCTTATCGGGGACTGGACCTGACTGCAGGTCGTCACATGACAGCAGTTTGTCACATGAAAGCGTGTTCCAGTTCCTGCTAATGTTCAGCAACTTTACACAAGTATTGAAGAAGAGTGGACCAACAGCCCACAATCAACAACCTGATCAACTCTATGCCCATTGCGCACCATTTGCCTCACACAGTGCAACACATCTATATGTTGCACTGTGTGAGACAAATGGTGGCCACACCAGATACTGACGGGTTTTGCGACTTCTGTATCATTGTGCTGTGTGATTAAACTGCATATTTCAGAGTGGCTTTTTATTGTGGGCAGTCTAAGGCACACCTGTGCAATATTCATGCTGTCTAATCAGCACCTTGACATGCCACACCTGTGAGGTGGGATGGATTATCTGAGCAAACGAGATGTTCTCACTAACACAGTTTAGACAGATTTGTGAACAATATTTGATAGTAATGGGTCCTTTGTGTATGTAGAAAATATTTCAGATCTTTAAGTTCAGCTCATGAAAAATTGGAGCAAAAACAAAAGTGTTGCATTTATATTTTTGTTCAGTGTATTTTTTGTCCCCCTTATGTAAAATTATTTGCACTTCTACCTCCATTATCTTTTTCTTTTAAAATTTTCCATACTAGATGTCCAATAATGTGATTAATGTGAATTCTAGATAGTTAGCTAGATTGCTAGATAGATAAAACGATAGCTAGTTAGTTAGATGGATAAGATAGCTCGACAAATAGGTATTATATGCACAACAGTGATAAAACAAAACAAAAAAATAAAAATACGTTTAAGTTAAAGAAAAGTAGAAAGCAAGACTAAAATTGTGAAAGAGTTGCAGATTGTAGTAATAAATAATGTTTAGACTATAAATAAAAGAAACAGCTACAAAAAGGTATAATCCAGAAATGTGTGTGCCTGAAAGGTGTTTTATAATATAATAGGAATGATTTACTGAAGTAGTTGAGTAATTCTGATGCCTAAACAACACAAACGTAGATAAAAACAATTTTAAAAAATGATTCTTTTAAAAATTAAGAAATTTTGCGATTTTCACTGTATATATTGGGATGAGTCTGGGAGGATCTCCAGGCCATGTCATAAAGACCCTGCAGGGGGCACTGAAAGATCTCCACGCTGTCAGATTAGGCTCTGAACACCTACATGAAGGATAATTAAAAACAAACAAACAATGGAGCCGTCTCTGTGAGCTGAGCTGAGACGTAAAAGTGCTGAACAAGCTGGGACATGTACTGAATACCTGAGAGCCAGGTGAGCTGCTCCAGTAGTCAGACTGATAAACAGAGGAGGTTCAATGCTTGTTTTATACAAATTTTATCTCACGATAAAAAAATGAAAGAATGAAGCTCTGAGCTGTGCCACTCTGTTTTTTTTTCCTTCCAGCAGGTGTTTGCTCGCCAGTTTATATTTAGTCTGTGGGGGTTTCCTCTCATTCAGTCGCATGCAGCTGATCTGCAGTCAGAATCGCTTCCTGTCCAGATGATGATGTAACTGAACCATAACAGGAAATGATCCTCAGCTCTACAGGGCGACATCACAGAGCATATTGAGCACCACCAATATTTGGTGAAATGAGCCGTGATGGCCTCTTAAAAGTCAAATATTTTCAGAGGTGAAGTATTTGACTGCATGCTACATGAAGTACTTGGACTGATAACACTTTTTAGTACAAGCTTCATTCATGATTTCATTTAATGACATTTGCATAATTTTTGCTAAGTGAAGATTAAATTTTTAACCTTTTTAACCCTCTAATGCGCTTACTTGTTAATAGACAACAGTAGAGGCACACAACAGAAGTAAAATCACACTTTTTACTTCATCCGCAAAAGTATAATTTAAGATTAAGCCATGGGCGATTGTGGCTCAAGAGTTGGGAGTTCGTTTTGTAATCGGAAGATTGCCAGTTCGAGCCCCGGCTTGGACAGTCTCGGTTGTTGTGTCCTTGGGCAAGACACTTCATCCGTTGCCTACTGGTGATCTCAGAGGGCCTGGTGGCGCCAGTGTCCGGCAGCCTCACCTCTGTCAGTGCGCCCCAGGGCAGCTGTGGCTACAATGTAGCTTGCCATTGTGAATGTGTGTGTGAATGGATGAATGACTGAATGTAGTGTAAAGCGCTTTGGGATCCTTAGGGACTAAGTAAAGCGCTATACAAATGCAGGCCATTTAAAAATGGTTTATTTGATCAAACACAGAAACTCAAAAGGCTGAAAGAGCTCATCAGAGTGCTTAATATTTTCAATTAGTTTGAGTCAGTGAACACTGTCACCAATTTTAACCTCATCTGTCAGTTGGAGGCTGTCCAGCATTGCACCTAAACACAGCATGACTGTGTTTACCACTGCTGTCATAGGAATGCTGTGCTTAGCTTCAGCTAGTCTCTGCCTGCTTAACACTGACGGATAACTGACCGTAGGCTGTCTGTACAAGAGGATGTTCAACTAAAAGCTGATCAGTGAATCCCGACATAATGCACAGAGAAATAAAACCAGACTGGATTCATGTTTAGTGCCTTTCAGTGGGGAGGGAGCGGTGAATTTCCCCACCTGCTCCTCTGCTTAATTTTTAATGGCCCTGCTGGGATTTTGATGATCTCCATCTCCAAACTCAGGTCCTAATTAGGATGATAAGGGTGTAAGAAGCACAGAGAGAGACCCTGTAAACTCCTTCATGCTGACCTAAACAAAAGAAAAACAGCCACATATATGAAGACACAATGAAAGGAAAAGCAGCTTCTTCTCTGTGACAAAAGTATAACCTGAAATATTTCTATGAAAAGAGGAACAAAACCAGTCAGTGCATGCTAAATGACTCGCTCGATCCTTTATTCTGACGCAATTTTAGACTTTCAGGGAACAGTGAGTCAGTCTGAGCCCCTCCCATGCCTCATGGAAGGATTTCCCAATTCTTGCTGGGACACAAAGGAGGAAGAGGAAGATAAACCACAGCAGTCACTCACTTCCTGAACATGAGAGACCAAACATGAACATGAGAGGGCCGATAAAGACAAAAGGTCTGAAGAAGCTTCTGGTGAGAGTCACGGGAAAAGCAAGTTAGAGACTGAAAGTCTGTTTCAACCACAGACTGGGTATAAAAATGAGATGGGAAACTCACAGCTTTGTAGCTTCTGCATTCTGAAGCCTCAACATTAATAGAGCTAGAAGTGACCACGTGTGGATGAGAGGCATACACTGTACAGGTGCATCACACAGACACAGAGATCAGACTTCTTCTGGGACCACAACTCATTTGGACAGCAAATGCTGAAAGTTTAGTTTTAGTTAGTGATGTGACGTTCTGTATCGAGGCTTCGAAGCTTGTGTCGAGTAATGGAGGGAGCGTTTCCGCGATGCGCGTATCGAGGCTTGCTTCATTTATGGGAGGAGCTGAAAATGATGACGTCCGAAGCCTCGCTGCCCGGCTGTACCACGTGACTGGTTCATGAAGTGGTTCGAACTTTGCCGCGAGATATGACAGCGATATAAACCCCTCAGACTTCATTCAAAATGTGGGTGTTTGATGGAGAGTTGCAGTTAGTGAGAGTTTGGAGACAGTTTGGAGGTTTATGAGAGTGAGGAGAGAAAGTCAGGAGAGAATGGAGCCAGCTAAGAAGAGGAGGATGTCCTCCCCTGTGTGGGAACATTTTGATCTTATTCCTCCCAACAAGGTATGTAAATTTCTACAGAAGATGTATTTTCATAATACTGATGGTGCAATACAATATATGTTAAGCTGTCTTTACTTTTGTACAAGGTGAAGTGTTTGCTCTGTGCCAGGGAGCTGGGATATAACAACAACACCTCATCCATGCTTAGGCACAACAGAGCTTTGCATGAGAATAAGGGGAACACCGATTGTGGAGCAAGACCAGGTGAGCCATCAAATGTCATGATAATATAGCATGCAGTAATGTTACTAAATGATATAACAATATTATACAGCTGTAATAAGTTACGTGTGTGATATTTATATTTGTGCTTTGTCTTTATTGTCTTTCCTCAGGAGAACAATCTCCAATAGATGAAGACCTGGTCAGCATGGTGATTGAGGACTCCCAGCCATTTAGCATTGTGGAGGACAAAGGATTCAAAAGATTTGTTAAATCATTAAATCCTAGCTATGTTCTCCCCACTAAAGGTTATAAAAGCAGTGAAAATTTAGTTTTTACTGAATAAAATATGGGCAGGACTGACGCCTCAGTGTGTAGCTGTCCATACCTCAACGTTACAAAAGCACAACCACTGTCCACACCCCAACCACACCTCACCTCACAGTAAATGATCATTTCCATTTTAAGCATTTCCAAATGATCATTTTCCATACTGCCACTATAAATATACACAGTATACTGCCATCAATACAATATACATGTTTTACACACTCCTTTTGTTGTTGACATTTACAGGCTGTGTGCAAAAGGCCACACTCTTCAAATTCATGCCAACTAATATTTTTACGTCCAGTAGGTGTCCTACTAGAGCAAATGAAGCTTCAAGAAGCTTTGCACTGGGGTGAACCAATTGGATGAAAAACTTCAATGCTTCATGAGGCTTCATCTGCCCATCACTAGTTTTAGTCAACTGAACATCATCAGACTAGGAGACTAAATCAAAAGTTGATTCAGATTGGATCGCTGCCAAATTCGTCCTGACGAAAGTTATGATGCAAATTATGAGTTAACGAAATTAATAATATCTGTTAGCATTAAAAAGGCTCCCACAGCACAAACGCAGTCCACAGGTCCAGTTCAGGGACTCCAATTAGCTAAGGTGAATACTACTAGCTACAGCCACCTGGCAGTCATAAACGGATACGCCCCCTTTTTAAAAATCAGGCTGTAAACATGTTTTTCTTTCAGGAGTGACTCACTATGGCAGGGGTGGGCAATTCCAGGCCCCGAGGGCCGGTGTCCTGCAGGTTTTAGATCTCAACTTGGGTCAACACACCTGAATCACATGATTAGTTCATTACCAGGCCTCTGGAGAACTGCAGGAGCTAATTTAGCCATTTAAATCAGCTGTGTTGGTTCAAGGACACATCTAAAACCTGCAGGGACACCGGCCCTCAAGGCCTGGAGTTGCCCACCCCTGCACTATGGGGTCTGCTGGAGCCTCTAGTGGACGGTGGTTGAAGCTCACCAAACTGTAATTTACTGATATTTTCAAAATAAGATTAGACGAAGCAGATCTTCTGTCAGTGTTCAGGGCTTTTGTTTTAAATAAACTTTTATTGTTGCTCGCTGTAACTACATCCTGGAGAAACTTTAAAACAGTTAAGTTCATGTCTCAGCGTTCCATGTAGAAGCTCGAGCAGCAGCTCGCGCTGGTTTCTCACCTGCAGTGTTGTTGTTGTTGTTTGTTGGGTCTGAGCACATGGACATCATTCGGTGCTGCCAGCGCTTCACCTGTAGTTGCTGCAGCCAATAGAGCATCAGCTCCTCGGTCACAGCCTGGAGAGGGTGCAGGTGGATTAAGAGACTCCAAACACTTGCGACTCAAATCCAAAAATGCTTTAAGCAACATTTGGCCTCCTACCTTCAGTATGAAAGTCCGTTCAGGTGTCTTAATTTGGAAGGTACCCGGCTCTGACTTCAGTGGGTAGGTGAAGGTGGCACCGCTGAGCTCCACCCACCCGAGCGGCATCACGTCGTTTGGTGTGCGGTAGTAGAACAGCTGGTTCTTCTTCTCCTCGTAAGTGAACCAGCGCTGCTTCCAGGCCCTCAGAGGCCCACCCTGCTTCATCAGGAAGCCGCACAGTTTGGGCTCCCCGGAAGGAAAACCTGCAGGGTCGGGCTGCATCTGGTCACAGAAAGCCTCAATGGTGAGAGGTGGAGCTGGTGGAGCCAGGGCGGATCTTTTAGCTGGAGGATCCAAGTGTCTTTTCTGGTCTGCAGGAGAAGGGGGAGGAGACTTGTGGGTGTTTAGGTGAGGAGGATCTTGGAAATGCTGAAGCCTCTCAGGTTTTTTCTCCTCTATGGACTCAGAAATATGGAGCTTATTCTGGACATCCTTTTCATCTGTTAGCAAAGTTATAAATGAGTTTCTTTTCTCATCTTTAGTTTTCTGATCTGCACAAAAAAGATCTTTGTGGTTTTGACAGTCCTGAGAGTCACCCGGTTCTTGTTCATGTTTTGGTCTGACAGAATCTCCAAGGTTCCTCTGATCTGCCCCCAAACCAGAATCTGTTGATTCAGGAAGAGGATCTAGTTCGGTTTGGTCTGGAAAGAGGTTTTCTGGTTGTGGTCGATCTGGTTTTGATTCATTTTTTGAAGAAGTTGAATCTTTAGCCTTTAGCCTGTTTGTCTCTGGAGTATTTTCTGAGGTTTTCTCCGTGTGAGGATCCCGCCGGTCTGTTTTCTCTTTAGCCTGTTTGTTCCCTCCTGGCCTCTGGTTCTTCTGTGACCCAGGCACACTGGCAGACTCTGTGCTCTGGTGGTCCTTCTTCGGAGACTCTGTCTTCAGCGTCCCCTCGTTAGCGTGGGCAGGAAGTGAGCAAGACGAGGCAGAGCTGGGATTTCCTGCTGAGCCGCTTCCATTCATCCTGCAAAAAGAAAGACGGAGGAAGGAAATTGAGTTTAATGATGTTTGTGAGGAGACGTTTGGCGGTAAACCATCAAACTGGATTCTGAGAATTTCAAATCCAGGCTAAGTGCCTTTTTCCAGACAAGGAGTATAAATAAAGGCTGCATTTGGAAAAAAGAAAACATAGCCAGCAGGAGAAGAAATGCAGGGACACAAATTCAAAGTAAACCAGTTACACATTCAGATACACATCAGTTTGTGTTGAAATATGCAATATCACCTGTATGCAGTAAAATCATGTGGACAGCCAAGGTTCCTCAAACTCATTTATTTATTAAATGATTTTTTAAAATTGATTTGCTTACTTTCTGAGTGTTTACCTTATATAGACTGTAAATAAAAGATGACTATACCCACCTTAATGCCACTCATTAGTTTTAGTATCTGTCTTCAACCTCAGAGATAGCATATAGACCATATCTGTATGACAGGGTGGAGTGTTATGTTATGCTAGCTAGCTTGACTGTCAAGCTGCATTCACAAACAGTACAACAGCATCACACAGACACATACCTGCTAATTACTGCACAGTAACATCTAAATAAAAGTTTAAGTTTAGAAATGGACTTACTGAATGGTCTGTTAGTACGATTACGCACACAGCAGCCATATTGTTGGCTAGATAATAATAATAATTATTAAAATGACAACAAAAGGCTCTAACAGCACAAACATGGCCCTGAGGTCTCCAATTAGCTGAAGTGAAGCCTAGCAGACAGCTAGCAGCTGCAGCCACTTCTGTGAACTATGGCTGTATCTCATTTAAGGGACGCATTTCGAGCAGCCTTCGAATTGGGACAGCCTTCATCGCGTCGCGGTGACGTAATTGGCCTTAAAATGCGGCCTTTAAGGCTGCAGACCCTGAATTGGGATACAGCCTTTCTGCAGGTCAGCCAAAGAGGCCACACCCCTTTTGAAGCACGCTGTAATCAAGAATAACATGGGAGTCTATGCTGTAGCCTCTAGTGGACATTAGAAGAACTGCATTTTTTTCTGTCTTTTTTTAAAGCCCTGGGGTTGGTGATGAAATTCTATTGGTTCTATTTCGAAGTTCATGCTTTAATTTGTAAAACTAAAAACCATTTAAAGAGAAAAGAATCCATAAATAGTAAGAGCGTGCTGCAAGCGGACAGAAAAAAAGAGAGTTGTATTGTTATTTCTAAGTGCTGGGCTGACAGTTGAACATTTTCCTGTTTAGAGAAACATCAGCTTTGCTTTGGGTGTGGATTTTGTTGTGCGTGCAATGGCAAGCGTAGTCAGTGTCTTAATGTACAGTATAGTGCCTACTGTATATGTATATGAAGGTATACAGTCTGTGGATCATCATTTTAAAATTCAGCTGAGAATGCTAAAAGTTTTTTCTCTACTGAGAAATAAAAATCAAATAGGACCAAACCTGTAAATAATTATTTTTCCATTCTTTCTTCTTTTACTGAAGTCACGTGTTTGTATATAGTCTAAAATGTGTGTTCGACTCTTTATTCACCCGTTGGTGGTCCAGGAGCAGAGCACCATGATGCGTGAAGCTCTAAAAACACGTTTTAGTGTTTTTTTCCCGCAGTGGAGGACCTGAATCCTTCTTCTACTGAAGAAAAGCACCAAAATAAGCACAAATCTGATGAGTTCTAAAGCAATGGGACCTAATTACAGGAAGTGGTTCAGGTCCAGGGAAGCAAAACATCTAAATGACAATCCATATCTCTGCATCTCTATACACACAGATATGAAGGGGGAAAGCCAAACTAGAGTAGGGGCTCTTGACTGGTAAGCGTGGCATGACCTTCTCATGTGGCAGGTCAGCCCACACGTATTTGTGGAATATCCAGTTCAGCTTAACTGCAGACCTGTGCTGTGCAGATCATGCATGTTACTGACTGCTGTTATATTCATGGATTTTTCCAGACAGCCTTCAATGAGTTTGGAAGGAGGCCGCGTCCTGTATGGACTGTTGGCTTTCAGTTAAACGGGTTTCAGATAGGAAAACCAGCTGCCCTTTAATTTTCTATTGACTACTAGACTCATTTTATTCAAACAGCTGAAAGGGGAAGATGGTAAAGGTTCCCCACATTCTGCCTTTGTCTGACAGTGTTTGTAGAGCATGTGCTTCCAGTTCGAGGTATTTGACATTTAGTTTGTGTAAGCAGTGGTGCGGCATTTGGTGTCAGCGCTGATTCACACTCCAGAGACTTGAATTCATTCAAAGAAGCACTAAGTTCAGAGATTTTCCTTTCCTTTAATTTAGTCTGACCGATCCCATCATTTAATGCCTTCCCTTTCCTCTGTAGGTGTTTCAGCTACCTGGAGGGCAGGGCTGACTGGGTTTTCCAGTCTATAAAGCTGTTGCTAGTACTTGCTCTGAGTTAGTTCTTTGTTTTTCTTCCTTGCACCTCTCACAATCCTGATTCTCCCAACTTTCACTTTTGTTGACTTACCATTCATTTAAGTTACTTCACTTTGTTTAATGTGTAATATTTTTAAAATGCTTCAGAATAGTGTGTTTGTTTTTTATCATAACTTTCTGAGAATCACTGTGACAGACTGAAGATCTTTTTTTAAAACAAATTCTATTGTGTTGTCACACTTAGTGTCAGCTGTTTATGAACACCTGCTTGGGATTTTGTGGGTCATTGTACGGAAACTGATCTAACTGCGCTGATTCAGAGTGTGCTTGATGCAATCGTCATCATGGGACAATGGCTAACACTAAAGTGTGAGATAGGTTGGAAACCCTTAAAAACCACAGATTTAAAGCAAGAGTGCTCTGTGGCCATTTTAAAAGACATTTAGCTTCTGGGGGGAGCTTTTCCCTCAATGCTGTTTTGTACATGTCAGGTTTTGGATCCAGTTCCAGATGAAACTACCAGGCTAATATTAGACTGGCAGGAAGAGTAAGAAAGCTGAAAAGGTTAGATCTGCATGACACTAAAGGGTGAGAAAAGAAAATTGCTTGAAATCAAATTAAGTGTTCAACAGGGGGGGAAAGGATCCAAGCAATGCTAAAGAAGACGTTCATGGGAAATTCTTCACCTAGGACAAATTCCTTTCAGCAGTGGTGTGTCTCATGCCTGTATTTCCTCTCATGCTATTTAAGTATTGGTGTGTGTTCAGAGCGTGCTAACTGGAAAAGCTGAGACAGTGCTGATTTAAAAGCCTAAGCGCTGCTTCCAGGAACGTAATGCAAGCATTTTAAGTGCTGAAGAAAAAACAAGCGATGGTCTGCACGTGACTTGTTTCAGTTGGGGCTGCTCCGCTGCAGGTGTGACCGCTTTTAGAGTTCACCGTGTCGGTCCCACAGCATACTGCTTGTCATCTGAGTGAGCATGAAATGATTCATGTTTGCGGCAGCAGCTTTGGCCAATATGTCTTGTTATCTAAATGTTTGTTTGACTTGGAAAAGTTTTGGCATTCTCACAGCTCACTGCACTGCCCCCGAAGGCCCAACCCAAAGCCAAACCCTCAAGCACGTCAGAGGTTTATGACAGTTTGAGCCTACTACTCATTAAGCTTATTTTACTCCTGTTGCTCTATCCTTTGGTAATGACTTACAACTGTGAGATATTTATGAGTGACTCCATGTTATTTCATCTAACAGAAACAACAGACACTGTCACCTCTCTGTGTGGAAGTCATGTATATGATGTTTATCCATCAGCGTGAACAGTTACGCCATGGCAATCCCAGGCTGCAAAGGAAAAATCAATATTCTCTGATTGATTTACAAGTGGTTGCAGAAAGTTGCTGTTGCAAGGTGAAACTGCTTTGGTTGCTGACAGATTGCTGCAGTTGCCTGTAGTTTGGGTGGAAGATGCCATCTTGTTTGCAAACATTTGACAGCTGCTAGCTAAGTTAGTTAAAACAAAGACTGTGCCTTCAAAGTAAAAGTCATTCATGTCTTGTGGAATGTGTCTGGCAATGAGGCCCAACCTTTACTTTGAAAGTTATCTGTTTCCTGTTTGGTTTGCACTACTGCTAGTGGTTAGTTAGTGAGTGTTTGCAGACAAGTGGCAACCTTGCACGCAAAATATGGGTGACTATGGCAACTTCCTAGTAACCACAGCAATTAAAAGGAGTTTTTCTGGTGCAGCACCCTGTTTGCAACCAATATCACCCCAAAACGGCCAGCAACCTCTAGCAACCACTGTAAGGCACCAGGAAGAAGTGCTAGTGGCTCTTGTCTAATTTAATGCAAAACTACAAACTTAGCCAACCTATAGAGCACCCTCTGCTGGTTGATTTATTAATATAATTCTGCCTGTTTACTGGTTTTTAGCCATGCTCAACTGAGATGCTCTGCAGACAGGTGTTGTGCCAAAAACTGATTTCCAATGTTTCCGTGTGTTTTTTTTTTAATGTGTAATATCATTATATATGTTGCTAAATAGACTTTGGTGAACAGGTATTACAAAGGGGTGTATATAAAATAAAAAAAAATACCTGTGTTATTGTACTTACATTATAATCAATCAGCTCCCTTTTGTCCACTTAAAATATGTTTACAGAACTATTTTTGCATTTGTTGCAATTTCAGCTGTCCCCTTGGCCCGATTACTCTTGAAAGAGATCTTTTTAAAGTCAACAAGAATTTTTTTAACTGCATAAATAAAGGATACAAAAAAGTCACTGCCAAAAACTGATTGCGGCTTCTACCTTGTTACAGGAATGTTGTTTGTTGCTTAAGATGACTTGATATCATTCATGAGGGATACATTTGACATATGTTTCACATATTATAGACCAACAAGTTAGTTATAGCAGTTTAAATACAAACAATCAGTTTTTGGCAGACAATCACTTTTTGACACAACACTGGCTCTGACTTCGGGACATTTGTTTCATTTGTCTTCTAGAAAGACTTTTTGTTTTATGACGTTAGTACAAACAGCTCGTCATAACTGAAATCAGATGTGTTTTTCTTGTTCGTTTTGGAGGTGGATCTCTGACTGATGAAGAGCATCACTGACTTTGCTTTTTGAGCATGAAGTGATGGAAACATGAGCAGCAGGCAGGAACGCAGTTGATCCGGTCACAGAATGCAGCACAACACCGGCAGCCTGATAGGAAGTGAGCAAATACTTCATGCTTTTAGGAAAGCTGCTTATGCTCACTGATCCCATTCTCTCTCGCTCTCTCTCTCTCTCTCTCTCTCTCTCACACACACACACACACACACACACACACACACACACACACACACACACACACACACTGGTAATTACTGCAGTACTTCATACAAAACTGTAAAAAATACTTTTAAATCGTCCTTCCTCTCAGTACAAAGTCTCTACACGTGTCTACTCCCGCTCATACTTACACACACATTAAAGTAATTTTTCCACTCAGCGGAACTCCACTGTTACTTTGATTACTTATTATTACTTTGATATTTAAGGACTTCTGTAACAGCAGAAACAGTTGAGGGTTTACCTGAAGGGGCGGGGCCTGAGCCCACCTGGCGGGTCTGTTCGTGTTTGACTGACAGCCGCTGCAGCTGTTAAAGAAATCACACTGAGTCACTCCACCAGCTCCTCACTTCTTCTCCTCTTCTGGACTTCTCCCTCTCCTCGTTCCTCTCCTCCTCCTAGTCTTCTTCTTCTTTTCTGCTTTACGTCCTTTTATTCTGACTTCTCTTTCTTCCGGCTCCTTGCCATCCACCCCTGCGGCTGGGAGCGCTCCTTTCAGCGCCACGGCCCAACAACACGGAGCGAAGACGTAACTTCCGGTAAGACATTTCAAAATAAGACCAGTTTTGGAAAAGTTCCTGTGATCTTCAAAATAATGTGTACTTTTGTAACATCAAAAGAATTCACGCTACTTAATAGCTAGACGAGGAACTTTTTAGGAACACTTGCACTTGAAATATTTTATTTCACTTTTTTAACTTCACTAATTACAGAACTGTTTAAAAAGTTTTAAGCCGCCCATCATTTTTTTTATTTTTTGCTTCCAAGCGTCCAGACCTTCTTGAGCAGTATTTCTTCATACTTTCTGAAGAACTGTCAATGCTTTTCTTTGGACATTGGCTCCTCTTTCATTCATTTTCAGTACACCTCCTGTACTAGACCATTTTAGAGCAATGTTTTTGGTTTGTTTATAAGCAACTTCAATGCTCACCTATGAGTCATTCAAACATAAAAAAGGCAGATAACGAAATGAATCAGTGTTGTGTCTACACACAACTTAGCAAAGAGCTAATTTTAAACTGTGTCTTTAGGCAGCCTGTCATAAAATATATCATTTGTTCCATTCCTTTGGTTACATCTATGAAAAATATCAAAGAGTAGACAGTTTGACAGCATAAAATTGTATTTTTGAAACGACAAGGCGAATCCTAAAAAACTATTAGCTGGCTGTAAGGAAGAGGACACCCTTACTATATTTATTGGTCCATCTCACTGTGTTTCCAGCCGCTAAGGGCCGCCCTGTTACACTGGCATATCTCAGCATGGTGTGCAGTGTGTCTTTAAAAAGACTGACACAGGACTTGAGAGAAGCATCTTGACCTTCAGGTAATCCATCTACTGATCACTGAAGTCTCATCAGGCTGTCAGGAAGTCATTCTTAATGAAAGGGAAAAGGGAGAAGGGGCTGCAGTATGTCAAATTCCACAACAAACCCATCTGAAGATCAGTGGCAACGGGTCTGATGGAGCAATGAATCCAATTTTAAAAAATTTTGTTCAAATCACCAGTAAGTATGGAGTGGGTTAGGAGAGAGGTACAACATGAACACTGTTTAATTTATTTTACCGAACGAATCATATGTGCATACATGTCATAGTCATAGCATATAATCACACTTATTATTTCCACTACAGAAACTAAGCCTGACTAAAAACAGAGAACATGAAGTTAAAGTTTGTCTCCATCTGCTGGCAGCAGGAAAAACAACAGTGTGGGGGATCGCATCCACAAACCAGTCTTATCTAGATCCCATTTTCCCAGTAGAGGATGGGGAGCCAGGCATAATTTTATGGAACACAAGAAAACTTAAGAAACAAACATGTGAATGATAAAATAAAATAGTCTGGAATCAGGATCCAGTTCTGGCAGTAACTGAGACACCTGTGATCTCCTTTCAATCTGCTGGTTTTAAAGGAGGTCCTACAAGCTACTGAATCAGGAGATGTTTTTAGTTTGTCTGTATAAAGACCTGTGACAAAGTGAGAAGTGATCTCATCTGCACCAAAGCTGCATGAATTTATTTTGTTCTTCATTGTAAGTGTGTTTTCTTAGATATGAGCCTTAAGCATAAACAGCTCTTCTCCTCTGCATGGAAGCTGTTAGATGATTTGTTTCTATTTGGTTTTGATGATGATGGATGAAGGATGCATGAGCAGCTCATTCTGTTCTACAGAGGGCACAGAGGAGGGAGTCCATGACTAACTATCCATGACTTCTGTCCATGTCCGAGCCCCACATTCAGATCACTCCACCTTCATCATTCACAGCCAAAGTTTTAGTGTGTTGTGTTGAAGAATAAAAGCGGTGGCACACTTTTCAGTCTGCTGGACCTGGAATTAAAGCACCAGCACCAGTGTGGCCATGAAGAATCAGTGGGAAGAATAATTTGGTTATTCACATTTCTAGTTCTTGTCTCGTCTCTGTCTTGTCATCAGCATCTCTTTTGGAAGTCAGTTGTGTTCCCGGGATCATTTCTCTGTGTGTCATACCTTTGTCTGTCATGTCTGTTTGTTGTCGGTCCCTGTGTCAAGTTCACACGCCTCAGTGTGTGTGTGCTACTTTTTACAATCCCTCGGCTCGTGTGTGTGATGTTCAGCTCTGCCTCCCCTATCTCATCAGTTAGTTGTGTTCAGCTGTGCTCCCAGGTGCGTCCATTCTGCTCTAGTCTCCGTCTGTGTCTCGCTCTGTTCTTTGTCACGTCCTCCCTCATGCATTTTACTGCCTTTGTCATAAAACTAATTACTGTAGTCCAAGTGATGCATGAGCTGGTTTTGCAGCATCACTCTGAGACAGGATTCTGATTTCAGTCTGAACAGCGCCACATTAACACACCTACATCAGGAAAATCAAGAGTAACAAACTACAATTTTGTTTCAGTAGCATTAGAAATTTAATGAAGACATACAAAATTTTACCTTTATCTTCATTTTACATGAAAACACAATTATTTTTTATTAAAAATCAGCAAGAAAGTAAATTTTGCATTCATTCCAAGACAAAATGCTCACTTTTTCTGTACTCTGTACTCCAGATGTTTGATCTATTTTCTGATGATTTACTGAAGAAAACTTCAGAAAGTGCATTTTCAGGTAAATGTTCTATGCTCATATCAACATGTGAGATATATGGCAGCTCAAAACAAGTCAGAGCATATGATGGGTCTCCTTTTTACACGAGGATTATCTTTTAGCTCTGAGTCATATTTTCATCCATCCATCTTCGTCTGCTTATGCGGGGCCAGGTCGTGGGGGCAGCAGCCTAAGCAGAGAAGCGCAGACCTCCTTCTTCCGGCCACCTCCTTCAGTTTGTCTGGGGGAACACCAAGGCGTTCCCAGGCCAGCCGAGAGATGCTCTCCACCGTGTCCTGTGGGACATGCCCGGAACACTTCACCCAGGAGTCATCCTTGTCAGATGCCTGAACCACCTCAACTGGCTCCTTTCGATGTGAAGGAGCAGCGGCTCTACTCTGAGCCCCTCCCGGATGGCTGAACTCACCCTATCTCTAAGGGAGAGGCTAGCCATCCTTTGGAGGAAGCCATTTCTGCCTCTTGTATCCGTGATCTCATTCTTTTGGTCACTACCCACAGCTCGTGACCATAGGTGAGGGTAGGGACGTAGATCAACTGGTAAATTGAGAGCTTTGCTTTTACACTCTGCTCTCTCTTCACCATAACAGACCGGTACAGCGTCTGCCTCACTGCAGCCGCTGCACCAATCTGTCTGTTGATCTCCCGCTCCCTTCTCCCGTCACTTGTGAACAAGACCCCGAGATTCTTAAACTTCTCCACTTGGGGCACTCCACCCTTTTCTAGATACATGCAAATCTTATTATTATTGTGAAATAGAGAAACACCAGAGATATTCACATGTTCTGTATAATATTCTGGACAGATCATATTGATCAAACAACCTTTGCATGCAAGAATGTTTTCCAACTACTTGAAGGGCATGGATCATTTGGATTTGCTTCAAATAAGTTTGGCTGTAGTTTTTAATAGAGCTATCTCCTGTGCTTTTGTAGTTATGATGGAATTACCTGATTTTCTAACAAATGAAAAGTAATTCGGCAGCACGGTGGCACGGTGGTTAGCACTGTTGCCGCACAGCAAGAAGGTCCTGAGTTCAATTCCACCATCAGGCCGGGGTCTTTCTGTGTGGAGTTTGCATGTTCTCCCCGTGTTTGTGTGGGTTCCCTCCGGGTACTCTGGCTTCCTCCCACCGTCCAAAGACATGCAGCTTGTGGGGATAGGTTAATTGGATAATCCAAATTGCCACTAGGTGTGAAAGTGCGAGTGAATGTGACTATGAATGGTTGTCTGTCCCTGTGTGTTGGCCCTGCGACAGACTGGCGACCTGTCCAGGGTGTACCCCGCCTCTCGCCCCATGACAGCTGGGATTGGCTCCAGCACCCCCCGCGACCCTGAAAAGGATAAGCGGTAGCGAATGGATGAATGGATGAAAAGTAATTTAAAATTGCACTAAGGGCGACCATGGTTCAGGGGCTTGGGATGCTCATCTTGTAACCGGAAGGTTGCCGGTTTGATCCCCAACTCTGTCTGTCTTGGTCATTGTGTCCTTGGGCAAGACACTTCACCTACAGCCTACTGGTGTTGGCTGATGGCGCGATATGGCAGCCTCACTTCTGTCAGTCTGCCCCTGGGCAGCTGTGGCTACAACTGTAGCCTCCACCAATGTGAGAGTGAATGAATAGTGGAATTGTAAAGCGCTTTGAGGGTCCTGAAAAGTGCTATATAAATACAACCCATTATTATAAAACAGTGTGAAAATCTTCAATTAACTTAAATAAAATAGAAAAAAGAAAATGTAAGGATTTTTAAGAATGGGATTTTACGTTGTCTCAAATGTTTTTACAGAACACTTAAACTCGTAACAAACAAATAAAACAAATAAAGAAACAAATAAAAACTGAACTAAAACTCATTCTGGAAACTAAACTAAACATACAACCATTTAGTGATAACTGTTTTGTATTAACGGTTATTTATATGTTGTGAAACCATGACATCTCCCTGTAAGAGATATTACAGGATGCGATGCTCTGAGTGAACAACAGGTGGCAGCAGACTTTTACGTTTCTCTGCAGAGCGTCTTTAGGTTTGCTTCTCCAGAACAACAGACGATCCTGTCCACAGGTGCAAGAATAACAACCTCAGTACTTTAAACAGGAGTATGAGAATTAAAAGTCAAACATCTAAAATCTTCACAGTAAAAACAAAAACCCCAACAAGAAGTAAAACTGAAGAAATCAACTTTCTCTCTGCAGGGCAGGAAAAGTCTCCTGTATTGGTTACCTGTGTCCTCTGGGCTTCGCTGCATGTATTTACTGATCTCATGCGAACATGAGGATCAATTATTGTCCCGTGTAGGCCCCTGTAGCTTACTGAAGCAGAGAAAAACGAATTAAAGAGGCGAGAAGAAGCTGCCAACAGGAACAGAGCCGGCGGGGCGATGAGGCCAAACAAAGAGGATGGATTTCGGACT